TCTGCCCTACCCCGACGACGACCGGCTCCAGTATCTGCCGCAAAAGTACGGCGGCCGCCGCCACGATGACGACGACGGCGACCTGGCCTACGGAGCGCCGCCCTCGCCCTCGGGCCGCAGCGGCCACCACCGCGGCTCGCAGTCGGTCGACATCCGCAAGCAGCACTCGGACTCGGACCGCGACGACTACCGCTCTCGCCGCCGCTCCAACACGCTGACCGTCGACGCCGCCCTCCGTGACCGCTCGCGCTCGCGCTCCAGGGACGGCCGGGGAGGCGGCCGCGATCGCTCTCCCCAGCCCCCCGTCGGCCGCATGTCGTCGCTGACGGTCAACACCGGCCGCGCCGCCAACCTGTCGCTCTCCTCCGCGCCGCCCTCGCCGCTGCTGGAGTCGTACCACGGCACCTACCAGAACTGCTCCCCCATGCCCTCGCCCCTGCTGCTCGCCTCCACGCACCCGTCGGAGCTCCCCAGGGTCATTGACGCCCTGTCGCCCATCTCGGACGGTGAGGGCGACGGCACCAGGCTCAGCCGCCGCGCACGCTTCCACGACGGCGCCGACATTGCCTCCCGCCTCGCCCAGGCGCTCAAGGGCACCCACAAGCCCGACGTCGGGCCCCTCATCGAGATCCTGCCCAGCCTCTCGCACGAGCAGGTCATGGAGCTCCGCGCCGAGTACAAGCTCATCGTCAAGACGGGCGCCGACCGCAAGGGCGTCAACATTGCCAAGCACATCCGCGCCCGCCTCAAGGACGAGGACCCCCTCCTGATGAAGGCCTGCTACGCCGTCGCCCTCGGCAAGTGGGAGAGCGAGGCCTACTGGGCCAACTTCTGGTACCAGGGCGACAAGACCCGCCGCGAGCTGCTCATCGAGTCGCTCATGGGCCGCACCAACGAGGAGATCCGCCGCATCAAGGACGCCTTCTCGGATAAGAAGTACGACAACAGCCTGACCAAGTGCATGAAGACGGAGCTCAAGGAGGACAAGTTCAAAAAGGCCGTCCTCATGGTCCTCGACGAGCGCCG